TTAAAGAAAGAGATTCAATGTTATACCAGTGAAACTCTGTCATATTTAGGCAGAATAGTCATCGAAAAGCAAGTCCCTCAACTTTCCCGTCCTGCTATATGGTGCGGAAGCATGGACGATGACAGCATCTGATGAGACAGCGTTAGGAGTTTTCAAGAAAAAGGTTTTGTTTAAGATGATGGAACGATGAGCTGTACGAGTTATACGGCGATATTGGTATAGTTCAGCGAATCAAGAAACAGAGGCTACGCTGGCTAGGTCATAGATGCGAATACTCTAGCTTTCGATGCAGTACCCGCCGGTGGAAGCAGAGAATGAGGAAGACCTCCACTCCGTTGGAAAAGCCAGGTAGAGAAGGACCTGGCTGTATTTGCTGTTTCCAATTGGCGTCAAATAGCAAAAAGAAGAAGCGAATGAGGCAATGTTGTTAAATCGACTTTAATCGTGTAAGCGGTGTCTACGCCAGTAAAGTTAGTAAGTAAGTTATGAAAAATTTCATAAAATTATCTAGCAATTCAACCTGCTTCCCGTCGACAAATGCGTTTCCCTATTCAACTTGCGATACCCTCTTCCATACCGCTCGTGTTGCGGTCAAACATAACATTGCGAGATAATGGAGAGAATAAAGGCTGCCTTTTTCTCCTCACTGCAGTATCAACTCGTCTTTGGAACTTGGAAGGCAATTAGTTTCATTTGGAGCTGTACTCCACTGCCATCTTTGACATATGTACATATATGAGTATATTATTTCTGCAATCCGCCAACATACACTTGATTGTATGGATTACACTTCGCTTTCCTTAAAAGCAATTGTTCACCTTCAGTTTTTACTAAATTTACTCAATCAACATACATACGTATAAATGCATGTGTGCATATATATATAAATATGTATGCTAATGTCCCTAAACCACGTTCTGCAGCCTCATAAAGTTGTGCAAACTTATTTGACAAAAAAGTTTCCTGATTTTCTTGTTCTTCACCTGCACATTCAATAAACAATTTTTCAAATGTGTATGGTAAATAGATACATATTTGAGTGTGTGAATTTATGCGAATTCTAAAATATGTGTCAAATTTGAAAAGTTAGCAACTAAAACTCCAAATAAACAACCCAAAGCCAACAACACGAAACAAGCTGACGCCCACAGGTAAAATAGAGTTAAGGCAGACCTGGAGACGAGCATATTTCATCGGGGCAAATAATTTTTGTGCATACATACATACATATGCATACTTGCAAATTATTGAACAATTTTGATATGTATATATATATATAAATTCTAAAACTTTTTTCATGCACATAAATTGATCAAAATGTATGGGAGTTCTTAAAAAAAGGAAAGATGGAAATAAAGTTTTGAATTTATTTCTTATTAAAAAGTATGCGCGCAATTTTATCAAACCTCAATCACTGAACTTTGTGATTATTATTGTCCTAATATTCGTGAAATATAGATTTTAGATTTAAAAAAAAAAATTTTTCTTCATGAACATTTATTCAAATGAAAAACTTTTTACTTAAAGGGTGTTGCAAAATTAAAGCAAGATTGAAATTTTAGTTGGAAATTCAGTTTTTAGTCTTTCGAATACAATTTTTATATGTACTCATAAAGTGTTTCGGATAAAGGTGTTTATGGAGCAACACCATCAAGCAAATGGCACATACACACTTGTTGGTCCAAACTTTTCATAACAATCATGCATAAACGTGGAGAGATTTCCTTGATTTAACCTCATACTTTAAAGCACGCATGAGTTTGGGCTTGTTGCAATAGGCCTGTGATTTTAAATAACCCCCTTAAAAGCGATCTAATGGTGTTAAATCACATGTTCTAAGGGTGAGAGAGTACACGGAAATGTCTCAGACAGCAATTGACGTATACTACGGACTCCATAAAATGTGGCGCCGTCTTGTTGAATCCACAAATTACCCACATCGATATGAAATAATTTCGACAAGAAGAACTGGATTATCACGTCGCGTTGTCGAGTTTCAGTTACAGTCACTGCTTGACGAGCCTCAGTTTAGAAAATGTATGATAGAATTATGGCTCCAGTGAAACGTTGTGAATGGATTTGTTGTTCGACAATCACAACCGAATTCTCAAAACCCAATAGCGGCATTTTTGGCCATTTAACAAACCCGTCAAGGTGAAAAAGTGCTTCATCGCTTAAGATGATTTTGCTTGAAAAATCAGCATACATTTGTTGATGCTCAATAATCTCTTCAACGAACTTTCTATGCAATGCATGAACTCAGTTGCTTTGTTCACTTAACAGATCTTTCGCGAGTTTATGCTACAGAGCGTTTATTAAAATTTGCAATTCTTGTTCACGATGCCTGGAATGTCACCGACACTCTCACGCATTGCTTCGTTATTGTAATTTGAACCATTTGTTTTGGACGATTAGTGTGCTTCACGCCTCTCACGGATCCTGTCTGCTGAGTTAAAATACTGCTCGAACCATATTTCACATCAAATTGTCGAACTGCGGCCGTCAAGCTATCTTTGAAATAGTCTTCAAGACACGCTGTTCTTCACATAACACTCTCTTTAGGCCTAAGTGGTCAGTTTTCAATTTGTTTTCTTTTTTTCTAGTTTCATATACACTTTACCAACAAAACTGCCGGCAAATTTAAATCTTGCCTTAATTGTGGCACACCCTGTCCCTTGCAAATGAGTAGACTCACGCATTTACTAAAGAACTTTTGAGTATTTTTTTGCAACACATTAGCAATGCAATTTCATTTGCCGAATTAATTACATTACATACAAAATTTATTACAACTACAATCGTAAATATAATTAAATTTAAAAACATCATCCAACCAAGTTCACTACACAAACTATTTATTATATGAAAATACATATAAAAAATTGAAATTTTTTGAAAAAAGAAAAATTGCAGATTTGAAAGCGAGCAGTAAAGTTGTGGGGCTGGTGAAAACTTCGCGCTGCAGTAAAAGTTTTGTGACAGCAAAAACTTGCACGACAGCCTCAACTAAAAACTAAAAAAAAAAAAAAAAATTGCAAAAATCATGAAGAGAAGTGTACTCTCAAAAATAGAGAAAAAAATTTGGGCCAAAAATAAAAGCCAAGCAAACAGAAAATAATTTTTCTTGTCATTTAGCTAATTAAAATTTTCAAGCATTAACTACTGGCATTTTTTTTTCTCTTCTTTTTTCGCCTGTGCTTCGCTCGGGCGCTTAATTATATAAATTGTATTTTTTTTTTTTTTTTTTTTTTTTTTGTTGCCTGAAGTTGAGTAAAGTAAAAGATAGCAAAATAGCGAGTGAGCAGAAATGAAGCGATGAAACACATTAAAGATTTCCGTGAATACGAGTACGTCAAGCAAATAAAGAAAGATTATACGAAAACGAGATAGGAGAGCAAAACAAAATATTAATAATCATAAAAATAGTTTTTCAAAATATTCTCTATTCGAAGCTATGTAGCTTTGCAGGCCCTTGAACACATTTTCGAAGCATTTTTGCCACCCTGATTTAAGTATCTCCAAAAAGACGTGTGCCGCTCAGTTTACGGTAATAAAAATAAATGATTAGTTTGGACCCCCAGTTGATGTGAGCACACCAATCAGTTAACTGGATGCGTTGCATCGAAGAAAACTCAAATTGGTTTGCAAAATATTTAAGCAAGTTGTGCCAGCCAAATAATGTGGCTAAAAATTTTTTGTTACAAAAATCAATCGATATCGGTCGTGAAACTCAGGCGATGATTAAAACATCAACCCAGGAAGTTGTAAAAGAAACTAAGCAATTGTACCCAAAAAGATCTCTAGACTATGATAAAGGAGTTTTAAGAGGGTTCTTAGTTAACACGAGTTTAATTTAAAATTTTTTTTTTTAATTTTGAAATTTATAAAGTTTTTTATCTATAACATTTAAAATTATACGGTAGATGATTCATTAAAATCGATGTTTTGAAGTCTCAAAAAGGCAGTTATTTGAGTCGATTAGTTAGAGCTCGCATTGTCGTGGTGAAGAGTGAAACGAATTCGGCGGTTGGCTGGTTTCTTGAAAGATAACCAACAATGAAATGATTGCATATTACTCAGAATTTACTATACTACATTGTTCTAGAGATATGGTTGCGACATATCCAGTTTTTCCAAGAAACAGGCAACCATTTGCTCGGAGTGTTTCGTGCGCGAAAAAGTTTTGCCGGTTCGACTGCTGTTCATTTTCAGACTCTCACGCGTAAATCCACGATTTATTGCCCATCACGATGTCGCAGACACGTTCAAAGCACCGCTATCAGCTTGATGTGAGCAAGTGAACGAGCGCAGTCAAATGCACATGCAATAGTAAATGTATGCCGCTTCCAATAATTCCCATAGTTGTCTAAATCTCGCGGTAGCTCAAATGGTCTTGCAATATCAGTTTGCGCACGCCCTCAGTCGTATCCGGAACAAGCACAGGTTTTGACTGATCTTCACGAAATCCTTCTTAGAGTGATCTACGACCACACTTTCGATTAAACAGTGGTCCTTGATGGAGTTTCGTCGGCAAAAATTAATTAAATTCACATAGAAAGCCGTAAAAAATAATTGCGCTTAAATTTTAGCGATTTAATAATATTTTTTTTTTTTGTCGATGTGAATATTTTAAGTTAGTGTTAACAGCAAAAAAAAAGCGCTCGTATGTCAAAGTGTTCTTATGAAGTTTTTAGTTAGCCAGATAGCCGCAGAAGGGTTGCCTAATCCCTTTATATTATATAAGAGGCAACCCTTGTGTAAATATATACATAATTCTTGTATATGTATTAGTTTTTTATATGAAAATTTCTCTCACACATTGTTTTTTTCTTCTTCCTTACATGCCATGATGATAATGTTTTAATCAACTTTTTCACTACTTTGTTGTGAATTATTGCAATTATGGGCACTGTTATATTCAATAACAACAAAATAAAATGCCACTTTGACTACCAACAACAACTGCTGGCACTGAAAATGATACTATTAACGCCAAACAGATCCACCACAAGTCACACTGTCGTTGGGTTCAACACTCAAACCGGATGAAATTAAAGAAGGCGATGATGTTTACTTTGAGTGTCACATAAAGGCCAATCCCAAGGAGCATCGCATAACGTGGTCACATGATGTAAGTATATAAAGCTGAAAATAATTGTGTATTTATGTATTTTTAATATTAATTTTATATGCAATCTATTGTACAAGTTTGAGTTGTTACTCATTCTCTGACTTAGTTAATGAAACCCTTTTCTTCCTTTATAATATTTTAAGTCTGCCTAGGTTTTTGAATTTTTCTAGCCATAGTTTGTTGATCTGCGATTAAAAAAAGTACTCTTGCTTAGAATGCGGTAGCTTTTCCATGTTTTTTTTTTTTTATTTTCCACTTTTTCATTTCCCTACTAGCTGTACGTTCTTAAAAAAATCTGGAGTTGATAAAAGGAAAACCAATTGAGTGATTAAGTTAAAGTTAAATTAATTTTCTGTAATTTTTTTTTGTATGTTGGTATCATGATATACTAATTTAAAGGTAGTTTCATTCTCTCTTCGCAGTCGGCTTCATAGCTATCTGACATTAAACGTGTTTTGGTTTTTCGTGCTACCCTCCTCTTTTACAAAAATCTACCATTTTTAATTAAAAAATAAGTGGAGAGTTTTCATATTTTTAAAATATTTACACGTTCAAAATCAAGTACAAAATGTATTTTAAAATCTCTAATATTAAATTTCATCGAGTGTATGCCTTTCATAATTGTTGTATTACAACTTTGGTAAATTGTAAAAAAGTATCAGAAAAGGACAGATTCCCGCACAAAAACTTAAATCGAATGGAAGAAGATGAGGAGCTCACTGGATTTGCTATATTAACTTTGGAATGCAAGTCAGTCTCATAGCTTTAGAGATGCTTCAAGGACATTTTTAAGCAAACAGGATATCGTTTTAATAAGGGTTGGTTTTATAGAGCAGTGAAAATTAATTATAAAAATATAATAATTACTCTAAAAGTCGTTTCCAAACACTTTTGAACTCAAACTTACCGCAAAATATATTGATATTTGTCAGTTTAGTCAGTTAGTTAAACATTGCTCAACCCTGATCTCTTGATAATACCTATGTTAGTTCCACGAAAAAGTTTCCTATATTTTGCGAGGTTCAGGAGATTAATGATGCCTAGACATTCAGGATTTGCTAAGCAATCGAAGAAGAAGTTTCCAAGAAATCGATAACTAACCGCAGAGTTCACTGGGATTATGACTATCCCTATCCGCTCAGCTCATCGACTCTCAGTTCTCTGGGTATCCCTATAACCAGAGCTCCAAACCATGAGCTTTTATCTTAGAGTTGAGACAATCTAAAAGCCTAAGATACGAAAAAAAGGAAAAATTTGTTTCATATTATTTATCTATCTAGAAAATCATTCTCTCACGTTTGCCACATTTGAAAAACGGCTTGAAACAAATATTTTAACTCATAGCATCTGCTTAGAACATAACCCCAAAATAAATAAAGGATCTCCAAGTAGAAAATTTTTTAAGTGGCAAGATCAAATATTTCTGAGCAAACACGTTTAGTGTCAAAAACTTCGAAGTGAAGCAACCTTATATTTCTGGTTAATTCTTTATTTATTGTCGGTAGCACTGTTATTGCCATCTACGCCAAATTTCATGTCAATGTCATCATTGATATTTTTGTTACGCTTGTGTTTACTAAACGACTAAAAGTGGCTTCGTCGATTTTTATAATGTCTGATTTAATTAATAGCAAAGAAGTGCGATCAAACATTGTTTGCGAAACGAGTTTTTGGCTGCTGAATCGCTGAGGATGTGACAGAAAGTCTTCGGGGACTCAACTATATCGCAGGAGAATGCGTATAAGTGGTACAAAGACTTCAAAGAATATTGTGCTAAAGGTGAGATAAGACAGAAATATCACGTCAAAGTCGCTCAAAAATCAAGGTCATATTGTCTGTTTACTTCGATTTTCGTGTAGTGGTGCACCATGAATTAATTCCGCCCGGTCAAAAGGTAAGTAAGGAATATTATTTAAGTGTAATAAGTCGATTGCGGGAAGGAATTCGCAAAAAAAACCAGAACTATGGGCCAACAATTCTTGGTTTTTGCATCACGATAATGGACCGTCGCACACACCACTCATTCTTCGAGACCATTTCGCTAAAAAATCCACAAATATCGTTCCCAATTACCGGAATTAGCACCATGTGATTTCTGGCTCTTCCAAAAGACCACTTCGGGAACACTGTTTTGAGTCGATTGAGGAGATTAAACGTGATTCGGCGCGATCTTTGAGGGCCATACCGGAACGTGACTATTTGACATGCTTCGATAATTGGAAAAAGCGTTGGCATAAGTGCATTCCATCGGCAGGGGAATATTTTGAAGGCGGCGAAATCAATGTAGAAGTATAAATAAAGATTTTTAATTTTCCAAAAAAATTCACCTTATTCTTTGCCCACAGTAGTATGTGATGAAGGACATATTCATATTGATATCGGATATTAGGTGTGTCACTCTCACTGAAGATTATACTGATTTGTACAGATACAGGGTTTTTGGTCGAGAATCTGTCAAAAATACTACAATATATGATCCTATAATAAAATGCCATAAATTTCGTCGAAGTTAGCCCTCCTTTGTTGTTTAATCTGAATTTCAAAAAAGAAAATTTTTTTGAATTTGAAATATTTATGTTTTTGCTTTAATATCGAAAAAATTTAAATTTCTGAATAATTTTCGAGAAAAGTAAATACAATAACAAAATAGTTTCACTAAAAATTTTTTTCCGAAATATTAACCATCGGACATAAAGAGGTTTTTTGACTTTTGCTTTATTTTTGTGCTATCAATTTCATTTTTTAAAATATTAATTTTAAATCAAATAATAATATATTTAAAAAAAAAACCTTTCAATGAAAAAAAAATAAAGAAAAACGAAATATTTTCACAAAAAACTCAAAGGCTTTCTCTTATTTATTTCTGAAATGAAATGGAACTAAAAGTATTTTCAAGCGGTTTTTTCATCAAATTAAACTACCTTCCTTTTTTGTATCATGGTTACAACAGTACTTTTTGTTAATATTATTAAAAAAATTCAAAATAGCCCAAGCAATTAGCTATGTGGCGCTTATCTGTATGAAGAAGTTTATTAAAATAAATGATAGTTAAAATATACGCTCGCGAAAATATTTGTTAATCTTTATAAATGCCACTATTTTCTTAAAACTCAATCAGCAATAAATCACCAAGAACATGACAAACCACTCACAGATAAAAAGCTTTTAAAGCACTTACATTTCATAAATACACCCACGTAACATCACAAATACGTTCATATGTGTGTGTATGTGTATATATGTGTATGTACGTATGTTCAAACCGATATAACTCAAACTCGGAAAATTTACGGCAACACAATTGCTTCTGCACTAACATAACATAGTGGATTTAAAAGGATATTTCAAAAGGTATGAGAAAAATGTGAGCATAAAAAATCATACTTGTATGTGTGTGCGTATGTACTCGTACGTAGTAGCAACAGCAATTCCCATACGTAGACCAAATATAAAACCTCAAAAATACAAACAAAATAGTACGAAAATAATTGCAGTGAAAGAAACTGCATAATAAAAAGGCGCAAATACCACCGTCGAATGGGATTTAAGCAACACCCACCAACGAGCTGGGTAAGCTGCTCACATTTCATGCGTTTTCGCTGCTTCCTATTTGTTACTGAATTTTGCGTTTTTTTTTTTTTTTTTTTTTTTTTTTTTTCTTTTCCTCTACTGCTGTAAAATAACTACTCACATTTTGCTTACGGGTAAAACAGCTCATATAAATGCAGTTATTATTCATTTTATGACAAATTTCCAGTGCATTTTCACTGAAAAGAAAAGCAAACCAAACTGAGCGTATGCCATCCTGGTGCTGGTACGTTTTGCAATATACTACGAGTATATATGTATATTTGTGTGTGCAATTGCATGTGGCAAGATAGTAGCGGATGTTTACATGTATGTATGTTGTCACTAAAAGTCTTTTGCTAACACTGTCGGGCTAAAAAACATAAATTGACATACATACATACATGTGCACAATATTACACTTTGTTACCCATCGGTTAAACAAACTATTTAGTTGAAACTAGATCGAAACTAGTGCACTGAGAAAGCTCAACTAACAACTAAATATGCTTTTTCGATAACAGTGTCTTACTAGTTTTTGCTCAGAGACGATATTTTTAGAGCATGGCAATCATCAATGACATATAACTAGTCTCATACTAGTTACGAATGAGCAAGCAATTACCTAGCAGCCTAGTTTTGAACTCAATTTCATGTTTTTTTTTATGTGAAGAGGAAGAAAATTAATTAAAATTTATTTCTTGTGACGTTGACGACATCTAATGAGTTGGCTCTAGGAGCTTAAACCGTAAGTCTTGTTTATAAGACCGTATTTTATTAAGGATTGTGTTTAGTTTTGGAGTACTCTATGATTCAAGTGCTGTATGCATTTCATTCATGGGGTACATGCCTTTTTCGCAGGGCACATACATACATATGTATGTAAATTCATACATATTATATAAAAAAGAGTTAAAGGGGTTTATTTGGGAAAAGGGTACGATTACTCATTTTACGATATTTACATTTTTTTTTTTTTTCACAAACGTGAAACAAATTTTCAAACACATATACCATCTTTTAAATTTTTACACATGTACATACATACATACATATGTATGCATTTATATTGTTGTATTAATTTTACGGATCTTCCATTTTGCGGCACTCTTCATATGTAAGAATTGCATGGCATAAGCCATGCCAGTGAAAAAGAAAATATAAAAAGTAATAGTATATATAGATATATGTACATATATATATATATATATCTATATATATATTTATCTCCTCCAATTTGTGGTTTTGCGTCTTGATGTTTTTCCAACAAACCAGCAGTTTGTACTAAGCCGCCTCCGAAAGGTTGCATGTTTTTTATGAGGAGCTTAATTTCATGTCCGAAATACACTCGGCGGCGTGGACATTCCCTGCCGAGGGGGGGAAAAAAGTATTAATAAACTAAACAATAAGTTTAGCTTCACGGTGTGTTCCAA